AATGGCCTTGACTATGAGGGAATGGAAAGGACAAAACTTGAGCAATGGGAGGAAAGAACAAAACCAGTTGAACATTTGTCAAATGAATGAGTAATAGAATAAGTTGAAGGGGAGATTGAGTAGGTAGAACTCCTCAATACCTTTGCTATGGTGTAGAGACAAAGAAAAAGTTACCCATAGCTATGTGAAAGAGCAAATGAGCAGTGTACTGCATAGGTAAGGGCATAAGCGGTGGCGGATGCATAGGAATATACAGCCACCTATTTCCATTCTTGTATTTAGCTGGGCTACCTTGGATGAATAAAGAGAATATTTAATCATTGTAGTAAGGCATGAGAGACTAGAGGCAGAGAGATACATTTAGAACAAGTATATAGCTATGGGAATTAAATGAGTAAAACCTATTATATGCTTAGCATTTATTACTTAATGTAGAGTTAACTAGGGATTGTTTCTGTCCTTGAGGAGGTTTATAGGTAAGAATAAACAGTATGACAAGTGGAGAAGTTAATAAATATATAATTTTTAAATTGAGAGCTATTATAAAGGCAAGGAATAGAGAATAGCAACATGGATTTAGGTACTATCAATAGGGTCAACCTTAAAGGAAATGACTTTTACTCTAAGATCTCAGGATGAAAGGAGCCAGCCATGCAAAGAGCCCAGTCAGGAGATTTGTGGGAGATGGAACAGACTGTGAAGAGTCCTAAGAGATGGAAGTAAGTTAGGACATGGGAGGTCTGCAAGGAGACTTCTCCAGGGAGCAGTAAAGAGGATACTGGTTTGAAATCATATGATGTAGGTAAGCCTTCTTAACCACAGTGAGCTTGACTGGATTCTAAGAATGACAAAAGATGAAAAAAAATGTAAGTATAGATTCTCAGCCTCTCATCTTCATCAGAATTATGAGTAATAGAATAAGTAGAGAATATTAAATATCCTTCCAGGACTGCAGAGTCTGATCCAGGTGGTTTGGGTGGTGTCTAAACCTCAGTGTTAGTAACAAGCTACGTAGTGATTCTGATCCACACACCTCAATATGAGAACCACTGACTTAAAATGTTTACTTAATGACCAATCTTGCTATTTTGTATGAACTCTCATTTTTCCTGATGTTCCCTTTGGCTTTTTTTTTTCTTTCCAAATTGTATAACCAATTTTAGAGTTTGGTTGAGGATTACTTTTGTTGTCTTTTATTTCTACATTAGAAATGTTGCTTCTTTTAGTAAAAGAAAACAGCATGTGTTTGCTTTCTTGTTTCATTTTAGATTGGGAGACCAAGTATGAAACCAAGAAGTTATCTTTAGAAAATGACACTTATGAAATAAATTTATCCCCGTGGAAGATAATGGAAAGAATTAAAAACCATGGCCTTAAGGGTCTCATTTTAAAACATGATTGGGAATCCACAGGAAAAATGGAAGGACAGGAGAGACCTCAAGAAGGATACTTCAGTAGTGTGAAAATGCCATCTGAAAAGGTGTCCTCTTACCAGAAACGCACATCTGTTACTTCACATCAGAGACTTCATTTTGTCGATAAACCCTATGAATGTAAGGAATGTGGGAAGGCATTCAGAGTGCGCCAACAGCTTACTTTTCATCACAGAATTCATACTGGTGAAAAACCCTATGAATGTAAGGAGTGTGGGATGGCCTTCAGACAGACTGCACACCTTACTCGACATCAGAGACTTCATTCTGGTGAAAAACTCTATGAATGTAAGGAATGTGGGGAAGCTTTCATATGTGGTGCAGATCTTAGAGTACATCAGAAAATGCATATTGGTGAGAAGCCCTATGAATGTAAAGAATGTGGGAAGGCTTTTAGGGTACGAGGACAACTTACTCTGCATCAGAGGATTCATACTGGTGAGAAACCCTATGTGTGTAAAGAGTGTGGAAAGGCCTTTAGACAGTACGCACACCTGACTCGGCATCAGAAGCTTAATAGTGCTGACAGGCTCTATGAGTGCAAAGAATGTGGGAAGGCCTTTTTGTGTGGCTCTGGTCTTAGAGTACATCACAAACTTCATACTGGTGAGAAACCCTATGAATGTAAGGAATGCGGAAAGGCCTTTAGAGTGCGGCAACAACTAACACTGCATCAGAGAATTCACACTGGTGAGAAGCCCTATGAATGTAAGGAATGTGGGAAGACCTTCAGCCGTGGTTATCATCTTATTCTGCATCACAGAATTCATACTGGTGAAAAACCTTATGAATGTAAGGAATGCTGGAAAGCCTTTAGTCGCTACTCACAACTTATTTCACATCAGAGTATTCATATTGGTGTTAAGCCCTATGACTGTAAGGAATGCGGGAAGGCCTTTAGACTACTTTCACAACTCACACAGCATCAGAGTATTCATATTGGTGAGAAACCCTATAAATGTAAGGAATGTGGCAAGGCCTTTAGATTGCGCCAAAAACTTACTCTACATCAGAGCATTCATACTGGTGAAAAACCCTTTGAGTGTAAGGAATGTAGGAAGGCCTTTAGGCTTA